TCAGCCCTTTGTGACCTGTGTGGCACAAATAAACCCCACCATGGCAGCAATCATGTGACTAACCCACCTATCTGCCTGCTGTCCATCACCTTACATCAGTACCTGTGCCTGCCTGCCCCTTTGTGATAACGTGGAGCAGACCACCACCTAATCACCTTAATAACCTCCCCCACCTAGAGGAATGGTTTAAAGGACTCAACCACAAGCAACCAGCAGCCATTGCCTTGCTAGACTCTGGTGTGGCCATGTGCTCTTTGAGCTATGAGTGTCACCATCCGAGCTTTGGTCCCCTCCCCCACCTTGGGAAGGTGAACCTTCTCTCTCCCTTCTCTTTCGCTCTCTAATTTACTTTTAAATAAACTTTTCTTTCCTTGCTTCTTTGTGTGTTGCAATTCTTTGCATTACTTGGATCTCTGGGTTACCGGTGCTGCACCTCTCCTCGCCTCTCCATCCAGCCACCTTCACCCTATCCATACCCTAACAGACCCTTTTGGAGACCCACACAAACCAACATTTTCAGCTTACCCATCCAAATGTTTCCTTGGGAGAGGGTACCTAGAGGCTGTCATCCAGGGTTTATTGGAGGAATAACCAGAAAGCTAATAACTTGGCAGTGCATAAATAGGTCATTTTTCTTTAAATATCTGTTCAGCATGGGATTGAAAGGAACTAAGGAATTTATTACATGCACTGAACATAACATAAGGTAATTGGAATTGCCAGCCAGGAGAATTTTAAAATTAACATTCAAGGGCATTGTCTTATCTCAAAGGAACAGTACCAATTTAGGTTCCAAAGTTATGTAAGGTGCTACAAGTGGCTGAGTTAATTGGATGGATTTTGTGTTTTAGTGCCTCTTACTGATTGATATCCATGGAGCTTGCTATGGTTTGAGTGTATCATCCAGAGTTCATGTGTTAGAAACTTAATCTCCAGTGCAACAGCATTGAGAGGTGGGACCCTTTAATGGGTAATTAGGTCATGAGGGCTATGCCTACATGAGTGAATTAATGTCTTTACTGCAGGAGTGAGTTCGTTACAAAAGCGAGTTCAACCTTCTCTTGCTGCTTCTCCCACCAGGCCTTTCACCATTTTATGACTCAGCGAAAAGGTCATTGTAAGATGCTGCCCCTCTATCTTGGACTGCCCAGTCTCCAAAACTATGAGCCAAATAAACTTCTATTGTTTATAAATTACCCAGTGTGATATTCTGTTATAGTAACACAAAACTGCCTAAGACAGTTCTTTGACTATCCTGATCCAAATCCAGTCTGGCACCTTCTCTCTGGCCTCTCTTCTGTCTTAACCTTTGTTGCAAACCCAGCACACTTTCTCAGCTCCTCATCACCACTGCTGTCTTTGTACCTGTTATTGCATTTGTCGGGAATACTGTCCACCCCATTCCCTAACCCACTCCAATCATGTCTGTCCAGGGAACACAACTTATCCTTCAAGATTCAATTCCAACTTTACTCTGAAGCCTCTCTAGCACACTTGGACAGTCAGTCTTCTATCTACAGTGTTCACAGACCACTTTGTACATAAATCAACACTTAACCTATTACTATCATTACTGGTTTACATGGCCCTTACAGTAACTGAACTCCAAGTTCCCTGTAGCTAGCGTAAGTTCTGTTCTAGAGCAAGCATATAGTAAAGCTTTATTAAATAAAAAATCTGAGAAACCCACTTATTAATCATTTTGCAGGGGCTTGGAGTGTGCCCTCAAGGACTCTATTTTGAAATGCCCCAGCACTGTGGCAGAGACTAAATATCTGGGAAAGTGCCATCTCAGGAGTATGAAGAATAGCTCCCAGGAACATGTGTTCATTCAACAAATATTTATTGAGCACTTGCTATGGACAATCATAGGTATTGATATGCTGGATGTACATTTTTAAAAAGGTTATGATAAGGAAAAGAGCAGCTTAGTCATGGCATGACAAATCATATTAAGTGGCCAGAGTTAGCCCACATCATTGTGGGAGGTGGGCAGAACAGTCAAGCAGAGACCACTAGACTAGAAACAGACACTGGGGGCTGAGGAGCATATGGGAGTCAATCAAGGACAGGTTACAGGAAACACCCTTCCCATATTCATATTCCATCCAATCTTTAGGCCTCAGCTCATGCCCAATTTCTTCTCTTAAATTTTACCTGATGGACTTCAACACACTGTGGTCTCCTAACTACTCCCAAGTGTAATTGGCTGTGTCCTTTTCTCATTTAGACATATGCTAGGCTCTATTACCAGCTTCTCATGTGCATCTGTCTTGTTTGTCCTATTAAGTAGAAAATTCGTCTTCCAACAAATATAAATTGAGGCCCAGCCAGGTGCCAGATGCTAAGAATACAACAGTGAGTAGGACTGGACTACAGCCTGGGAGGTGGGGGAGATAGATGTAATGTAAGTACCAGAGAAATTCAATCAGGACAAGGTGAGAATTAAGAAGAAAACAAAGAGCTGAGATGATTACATTTAAAGAGAGAACTGCTGGGTGTGATGGCTCACGTCTATAATCCCAGGATTGGGAGGCTGAGGTGAGAGGATTGCCTGAGCCCACGGGTTTGAGACCAGCCTGGGCAACTTGTTGAGACCTCATCTCTACAATAAATCAAAAACTTAGCTGGGCATGGTGGTACGTGCCTGTAGTTCCAGCTACTTGGAACACTGAGACAGAAGGATCACCTGAGCTCAGCAGATTGAGGCTGTGATGGCCGTGAGCATGCCACTGCATGGCAGCCTGGGCGGCAGAGTGAGACTCCAACTCAAAAACAAACAAACAAACAAATAAATACAGAACTAAGAAGAGCAACTCCATGAGAGTGGGCCAACCCTTAGATTTCTCTACAACCACTCTCCCCATGCCCACAGTCTAAATCTTCATACTTTTCTTGCTAAGTGTCAGTTTTCCTTTACATTTGGTGAAATCTCAAATAAGAGAGCATCTACACTATGTGTTTCTACCACAGGTGCCGAATAGGTGTCCCCAGAGACACAGAATAGTTTTTTAAAAAAGGTACTTGGAAGGTTAATGGACAACTCAAACTTAACATGTTCAAAATCAAGTTCCTTATCTTATCCCGAATTTGTTCTCTCTCTGTCTTCTTGGTCTTAGATAACTAATGCATCTGATTTTATTGTTTGCTTTATTCTCTGCAATATTCCCAGCACTGAAAGAGTACCTGGAACATAGAGGACACTCAACATTTTTATATTGAATGAATGAATGAAAAACAGCCATGGCTTGTGTCCTCACCTTCCCTTTTTACATTACATTAAAGACCCACTAGAGGGCTGCACATCACTGTGTGACAAACAAGGAACCAGTATATCAGCACTAGTACACCTGCAGAGGCCTGTCCTTATAGGGAGACCCCAAGATTTGCATATTGAGAATTTAAAATCAGATACAACACTGTGTACAAATCTTATCTCCACAATTACTTGGAGCAATTTGAAGTCAGGGATTATGGAAATTATTTAAAGTGATTAATAAAGATTTCTAGAAAGAAAAAAGGAGAAATTCTTTGGTTATAATAATTAGAAACTAAAAGATTTTTTTGAAGGTATATAACATAGTATGTGTTCAGTAAACACCCATGTTCTAAAAGAAAGAATAAGGTGTTATGCAGACTGTTCTTAATAGTGACACACCAGGTCGGGCTCGGTGGCTCAGCCTGTAATCCCAGGGCTTTGGGAGGCCGAGGTGAGTGTATTTCCTGAGCCCGCGGGTTCGAGACCCGCCTGGGCAATTTGGTGAGACCTCATCTCTACAATAAATCAAAAATCAGCCGGGCGTGGTAGCGCACGCCTGTAGTTCCAGCTACTTGGAAGGCTGAGGTGGAAGGATCGCTGGAGCCCAGCAGGTCGAGGCTGCAGTGGCCAGGAGTGGCCACTGCACTCCAGTCTGGGT